GGGGGCTGGGGAGGGAGGGAGCAGGCGAACAAGCTAGCGAGGGAGCGCGGGCGGAATCCAGCCCTGAGCCGCCCGCGCCGCCGCGCCCTCTCTGCCGCCCTCCCTCCCTCCCTGCCTCGCCCGCGCCCTCCCCCTCCGCAGCCACCTTCCCGCCGCCTCCCCGCCCCCCGCGGCCTCGCCGCGCCTCTCCCTCCTTCCCCGGTGACACACCGAGTTCTCCCTCGGCCTTACAAAAGAAACGCATCTGGTCTGCAAGTCCCGCGCGGCTTGTGCCCACCTCAGGCCCCAAATGACTTGTTTCGCTCAGAGCCAACTCCTGTCTGGGCCGCCTCGAAGTCCCCGACCGCTGGCGGGAACTGCCCAGGATGAGTGAATGTTCGAGGAGTAGGATCGCGCAGAGCGGGCGCCTTGGAGCCAGCGTCAGGGCGGGGGCAGAGCCCGGGGCCCGTTCCGGCAGCTCCCTGCGGTGTCCTCGTCGAGGGGCCGCCGGCCCCTCCTTCCCCGGCCTCTACTCCAGGGAACTCGGCCCGGCTGAGTGACAGCCGCTTGCGCTGTAATGGGCCCCCGGATGCTGCCTCCTAATTAGCTTGGACCCTCTCCCCTAAGGCTGCTTCTCAGGCCTCCCTCTCTGCACCGCAGTCAATTTTCCGGGATTGGGATAGAAATGATGGCTTCTAATCAGACGAAACGTTACTGTTGGCTCTAGGCCGCTGGCGAGTGCAGCGGGGAGACCCCAAGAGCCCAGCCAGGCTCCATTGCCTTTTCTACCTCTCCCCTTATTTTGCACCTTCAACGGCCAAGCCCTGGCCTTGGCAGCCAGGGGGTTGGCCTTGGCAGCCTCTGCCATCCTCCAGGGTAGCTTTGCCCTGGCGCTTGGGGCCTGTGCTTTTGCTTCCCAGGACTTCAGGCACAGGCCTGGTAGACCAGGTGACTGCTGTCTTCCAAAGCTGGGAGGGCAGCACAGGACTTCTGTCTTCTAGATTCTCTCCCACACAGTGGTAGCCAAACTGTGGCTCCAGGGGGCCCTTGCTGACACAGGCAAGACACTCCCCTCCCAGCTCCCAAGGGTGACCCCCTCCTTTAGTCCTCCCACTTAAATGAAGTTTGTTGAAGGATTTTGCTCAACAATTGTTAACTGGCCCTGAGACCTCAGCATCTTGAGCAAACAGGCTGCAGCTGGGACAGCAGGGCATGGCCCTGACCTGCTTCTCTGGCCACAGCCAGACCTCAGGATACTTCTGCCCCTCACCTGCCCACCCGTTCCATTAGACTCAGCAATTGGAGAGGACAGTGTGTTAGAGAGGAGAGCCACCTGGGAGAGAAGCAATTCTCTACTCTCCAGGCCCAGCACCCTCATTCCAGAACCCAGGACATCCTGACCTCCTTGGGTTTCTTACTGGACTGACTGTCCAGATGTCAGCATCAGGGGCCTCCACAGGCTCTACCTTTGAGCCTTCCCCCTTCCCCCATCAGAGGGAGGCACCCAGACTGAGTTCCTTGGTGAAGATTGTGGGGGCAAGGACAGGTTCTCAGGGTAAAGTCAGGCCTGCCTCCCACTCCTTGGGTGTCTGACACAGGGAGCAGAGTCTGAGGCTGGGTAGAGAGGGAGGATACTTTCCAGGAGGAGCGGGAGACCTATTGGCTCTGGCCTTCTTCTTATAAGACCCCCAGGATGAAATTAGACTTGGTCAGAAGGAGAAGAACATGAGAAGGATAACTGCAGAGCAGTCGTCCTCAGCTCCGTCTTATAAGACATTTCTTGTTTGAGTCTCCTGCAACTGTGCAGGAGACATATAGGTGCTGCAGCATGCTAGAGAGTGCCCCTTTACACACTCCTCCATGTGTCTGCCTTACCCTGTAGGGCAACCTGGATGAACACAGGCATGGGAACATGCACATGTACGTCCCTACTTCACTTCCACGTAGGGTATGCTGTGTACACATAGATGCACACACTATGTGCTCTTTGGCATGGCTGGCTGCTCTCCGATAGGTATATTCTAAGCCCACAGAATGGACCTAGGTAGGAAGCACAGTGAATCTCTGGGTAGGGACATAGAAATGAATGGTCTGTCTATGGGGACTATGAGGCCCTCTATGGATGTGGACTATTTTGTGACTCTGCAACTACAACTATTCAGTCTGAGGATGTGCAACCTTCACTACTGATGCCTTTAATGAAGTTATTGAGCACCAGCGGCATGCCCTTCCGGACCCAGGCCCTTGGAAGTGCTCCAGGCAGGCACTAAAATCCCTTTATTTGAAGATTTTGATGCCCCCTGTGTGGATGGAAATGCTCTCAGACCCTTTTGGGTGGTGCCTAAATCTAAATGCATAGCGGACCCTTAGCCCCAAAGAGAAGCTGAGGATCTGCCAGGGTGTGCAGCATTCAAGGAGGGGAAGGGACTGGTTGAGAGAAAACTGTGGCCTGTCTGGGCATTAGCTAAAGAAGGGACTGAGACAAGTTTTTTTCCCCAGCTACAGTCTCCTACTACTCACTGTCCTACTCTGTGTAGGGGCTTCTGGCACATTCACAGACCACCTCCCCCACCCCCCACCCCCGCCCCAAAGGAGGCAACAATCTTTTGGAACTGAGGATCCATGGCTTCCCTCCCATCCACCCCTTTGCTCTGACCTTAGGCATGGCTTGCTGCATGGTGCCTTATGAGCCTCTGCTCACTTCTTCAGCCTCCAGCTCACTTGATCATGGGGTGGACATGAGGAGAGGAGCTGGGACAATGTGCCCTATTCCCCATTTCTCTTTAGCTACATAAAACTCAGTGATTCTGTGATTTTTTAAAAAATGTGGGGATTAGGGTCCTGGATGGGTTGAGCAAAGGATTCTGGGCTGTTGTAGGAATTTGAAGTAGTCACCATGGGGACCCTTTCTAAAGCTAGACTGACTCAAAACAGATTCTGGGCACTAGAATTGTTTAACAACTTAATTTGGGAAGGTTGGTTGGAGGACCCTCATGGGGGATATCCTCCCACCCGCTCACAGGGGTACCTTGCTATAATCCTTGCTCACAGAATCAAGAGATTTTAGGAAAAAGGAAAGAATGTGCCATGGCTTGCCCCCAGGGCCATCCCTGACTCTCGGGGACATTCCAGTCCTAAGCCTCTTAGGCTTCCGAGGAGAAGTTCAAACTAGAAAACCCAGTTTTGGAGTGCAGTGGGGACCACCTACCTCCTTTGGCCTGATCTAATACCACCGTCCCAATAAAAGCTATTTTTTTTTTTTAAACACAAGCAATTTCTGGGTGAGAGGAATGGGGAGTGCTCTGGTAGAGTCCAGAACACTTCCTTGGGATTCTTTAGGCTTCTTAGGACCCAGTTCTGAAGCTTCCTGTCAAATGGGGTTCCCCAGCTGTTCTGGGTGAGAGCTGGGATGTATTTGGTAGGATGGCTGCCAGAAGGGCACAACGAAATGAAGGAAATAGAGGAACTTTCCCTGTTGGTAGTGCCCATGGCTCTCCTGTCCACGGAATGTTGTCTAGTTGTAGAGAATGGCTGAGCTGAGGGGAAGGGAAGGCTTTGAAAGTGGCAGTGGCTAGTCACATAACCGGGGAGCAAAGAGCCAGATTTTGCTGTCTCACAGCCTTCTCTTCCCAGCAGCTGCTTCCTGGGAAAAGGGCACCCTGAGCCTCTCCTGGAGCTCTCCCCTCCCTATCTTAGAGTCTGGGCAGCCTGGTCTCTAAGCCTGAGTGAGCCCCCACACTTTTTCCTTGGAAGGAAAGCAACCTGAAGAAAGGGCAGGGGCAACCTAGTCCTCTCCCATGCTCTCCCGGCTGCTTGTAGCTTTGACCCTTACCCTAGACCTGGGAGTAACTCTAGACCTGCATCCTCCACGAAGTGGACAGCAACCTGGAGTTTCCTCCCTCTGGCCCTGGTGACTCTGAGGTCACTGAGATGCCAAGAGAATATCCAATTCTTATTTTCTCAGAAAAGTGGGCTCAAGTATCTTTTAGATTCAGGTAATTCCTGAAGTAGGAAAATCTTGGAACCCGAATTTCAGCCCATTTCTGCAATCTGGGCCTTGGGGTCCTGGCCTTGCCACAACATAATCATCTCCAAATTTGAGACTAGCTAATTTCAAAATTTGGAGACCCGTTTCTAGAGAAGCGACTGGGTGCTCAGGTACCCTTACACCAACCAAACCCGGGAGATAGCCGCGGAAACATCTTTATTGGACTTTTCGAAGAGCACTTGGGTTTTCTCTCAGCGGAAGGAAAAGCTTAGCCTGTGCCAGCGAGGGCAAGCCGCAATAGGTTGGGGGCACCTCGGAATGAGGCGGCCGGACATTGAGGTCCCGGGCGAAGAGAGCTGGGGCTCTGGCCGATGTCTGCTGCTCTTTTGCGGCATTGCTGGCCAAACGAACGAACGAACGAATGAAGCGGTTTCGTTTAGAAAAAATACCCTCTTGACGCGAAGCTACGGCCAAAGTC